TTTTTTTTTTTTTTTGAGACATAGTCTTGTTTTATTGTCCAGGCTGGAGTGCAGTGGCGTGATCTCGGCTCACTGCAACCTCCGCCTCTGGGGTTCAAGTGATTCTCCTGTATCAGCCTCCCTAGTAGCTGGGATTACGGGTATGAGCTGCCACACCAGGCTAAATTATGTATTTTTAGTAGAGGTGGAGTTTCACCAAGTTGGCCAGGCTAGTCTGGAACTCCTGACCTCAGATGATCTGTGTGCCTTGGCCTCCCAAAGTGCTGGGATTACAGGCGTGAGACACCATGCCCGGCCACAAGCAATATTTCTTTCATTCAATAGGTCTCGCTACATCTTGAAGGGTCTAGGGTTATAGGCAGGGAGCACGCAGTGCTGGGTGCAAGGCCATGGGAGAGCAGAGTGGAAACAGGGCTTCTGGGGGGTACTGGGGAGAAGGTGGTCCCCTTGGTGTCCTGGAGAGTTTGGGCAGGGGGAGGGAGGAAAGGGTGTTTGCATGGCAAAGAGGGAAGCTGGGCAAGCAGTTCAGTTCAGTTAGAATTTGGGGAGCAGGCAGGAGAAGGAAAGATCAGAGGCTGGAGGGGTGGCTCGGGGAAGACCTCAAAGGCCTCAATGCTGAGCCAAGATGACTGAGCACTGGGGTTATTCTGTGGGATGGGAGCTTCCGGGGTCCTCTCACTGGGGAGGGCAGAGCAGGCTGTAGGGAGATGAACCTTCCAGCTTCTTCCCTGGCTGCTTTCACCAACCTGCCCCGTTAACATCCCCTCAAACCCACCAAGGAGAGCTGAATAGGTAGTCTCGATAGTGACAAGTCTTGGGAGAATTCTGCCATCATGAGCAGATGGCTTTGTTGGGAAAGCCCTCTGCCAAAGAAGGCAGATGTGCCCCAAGGCTTCTCGGAGCTTCCTGACGTCCGCATGGCCCTCAAAATCCTCATCAGAGGGCTCCTCCCAGCATCAGATCTCATTTCTCCAGAACTGAGACCCAAGATGCTTCTGCGTGATTAGGCCCCTTTCCCCAGCACCATTTTCTTTCTTTCTTCCTCTCTTTTTTTTTTTTTTTTTTTTTTTTTTTGAGATGGAGTCTCGCTCTGACACCCAAGCTAGAGTCCAGTGGTGTGATATCAGCTCACTGCAACCTCCACCTCCTAGGTTCAAGTGATTCTTCTGCTTCAGCCTCCCAAGTAGCTGGGACTATATGCATGTACCATCATGCCCGGCTAATTTTTTGTATCTTTAGTAGAGTTGGGGTTTCACCATATTGGCCAGGCTGGTCTTGAACTCCTGACCTCGTGATCCACCCTCCTCTGCCTCCCAAAGTGCTGGGATTACAGTCTTGAGCCTGTGCGCCTGATCACATTTTCTTAAATATTCAATCCATCCAGTTCTTTCTAAGCGTGAGTCCCGGTCTCCCTGTGCAGCCTCTCCCCGGTTCGTCTGAGGACTGTCACAGCTTATCTCCACATTTAAAATGCTTTGAGGTTCATTCATGGGGAACCTGCTTCTCTGTGTTCACAGCTGCTCCAGGTCAAATACGGCGGGTGGCAGAATGTGAGCATGGCCAACTACTTCAGAGACTATGCCAACTTGTGCTTTGAGGCCTTTGGGGACCGCGTGAAGCACTGGATCACATTCAGTGATCCTCGGGTAAGTGAGGCCCCTCCAGGTGAGAGAACGTGGCACTCCCTGCCACTTTTTTTTTTTTTTTTTTTGAGACGGAGTTTCGCTCATGTTACCCAGGCTGGAGTGCAATGGCGCGATCTCGGCTCACCACAACCTCCGCCTCCTGGGTTCAGGCAATTCTCCTGCCTCAGCCTCCTGAGTAGCTGGGATTACAGGCACGCACCACCATGCCCAGCTAATTTTTTGTATTTTTAGTAGAGACGGGGTTTCACCATGTTGACCAGGATGGTCTCGATCTCTTGACCTCGTGATCCACCCGCCTCGGCCTCCCAAAGTGCTGGGATTACAGGCGTGAGCCACCGCGCCCGGCCTCCCTGCCACTTCTTATGGATGCTGTGGTCCTGCTTGCTGTCCCTATAGGCAATGGCAGAAAAAGGCTATGAGACTGGCCACCACGCGCCGGGCCTGAAGCTCCGTGGCACCGGCCTGTACAAGACAGCACACCACATCATTAAGGTGAGGCGGGTCCTTCTGGTGGGGGAACAGCCTTGGGGTCAGCTCAGCCTACCCCGGGGGCTGTAGCTTGGTCAGCGTACTCCACAGCACCTTCCTTTCTGTGATGATTTGTGGAGGGCAGTTCCGGTAATCCAAGGTGCTGCTGGACACTGTGGCTGAGCCGTTGCAGCAGCTGCCAAGAGCTTACAGCCTAGCCAAGGGGGATGGAGCACATCCATGTGGAAATGTGTCAGCTATAGGCCCAAGCTGTGACAGGAGGAAGAAGGGGTGTGACAGTGAGCTAGGGGCTAAAATCTTCAATGAATGAACAGAAGTAACTGGGGTTGATCAAGGACAGCAGTAAGAGGAGTTAGAAATGGCCGTCAGAGCATGGACTTCAAAGAATCTGGGATTTTGGAGGAGGAAGGAAAAATAGCTTGGAAGCAGCAGTAATGAGCAAGCAGACTTCACCTTTGTCCTAGCTCAGAGGTACGTGGAGTGTGGTGGAAAAACAGCTTCTGCTCGAAGGCGCTGCCGTGGAGGTGGTCTTAGGGCCAGCAGGCATCAGTCACAGCAACAGAGTAAAGGGGACATTTGGAGAAGATGCTACAGGAAGGAAGGGCTACTGGAAAGCCTTGTCACTGGGGAGGAAATTAGGTCACATTACAGGGCACGTATGAGGATATGGATGATGGTAACTGGGCAACAGGGATACAAGGTATGTGGGATTGGCCCCAAAGGACACTTAAGAGAAGGTGGAGAATGTCTAAGCTGGAAGGCAAGGAGCCACTGGGTGACATACCAGACCCCCAAACTCACGTCAGGGAGGTCAGGGAGAACATTTTCTCATTCTTTTTACATTTGGCTTATGATTTCTTTTTCTTTTTTTTTATTTCTTTTTTCTTCTTACGTGCCTTTTTTTTTTTTTTTTTTTTTTTTTTTGAGACAGAGTCTCACTCTGTCACCCAGGCTGGAGTGCAATGGCACGATCTCGGCTCACTGCAATCTCCGCCTCCCAGGTTCAAGCGATTCTCCTGCCTCAGCCTCCTGAGTAGCTGGGATTATAGGTGTGTGCCACCACGCCCAGCTAATTTTTGTATTTTTAGTAGAGATGGGGTTTCAACATTTTGGCCAGGCTGGTCTTGAACTCCTGACCTTGTGATCCGCCCGCCTCGGCCTCCCAAAGTGCTAGGATTACAGGCATGAGCCACCGCGCCCGGCCTCTTATGATTTCTTAAATTGTGAATATTTAAAGGGCAGAAACTCAAGATATTTTTTTTTTTTTTTGAGACTGAATCTTGCCCTGTCACCCAGGCTGCTGTGCAGAGGCATGATCTCAACTCACCGCAACCTCCGCCTCCTGGATTCAAGCATTTCTCCTGCCTCAGCCTCCTGAGTAGCTGGGATTACAGGCATATGCTACCACACCCAGCTGATTTTTTTGTATTTTTGGTGGAGATGGGGTTTCATCATCTTGGCCAGGCTGGTCTCGAACTCCTGACCTTGTGATCCCCCCTCCTCGGCCTCCCAAAGTGCTGGGATTACAGGTGTGAGCCACCGCGCCCGACCTGAAGAGATGTGATTCTGATACTGTTTTGACATATTCCACTTCATCAGACAGTACCATGATTCACTTGGTTATTGCTGGTTGGTAAAAGGAAGTATAAGGAAAGAAGTTTGACAAAGGTTCTCTGTGAGTGACAACCCCAAATTCTATAGCCTTCAGATATTCAGGTCATCTGATATGGTGCTTCTCAAACTTTGACAAGCACCAAAATCATTTAATAATCGATTACTAAGCTGGGTGTGGTGGCACGTGCCTTTTGTCCCAGCTATTTGAGAGGCTGAGGCAGGAGGGAGAATCACTTGAGCCTAGGAGTTTAAGTCCAGCATAGGCAAGAAGCAAGACCCCATCTTAAAAAAAAGCTTATCAAAGCACAGATTGCTGGCCGAGCACGGGGCTCATGCCTATAATCCCAGCACTTTGGGAGGCCAAGGCGGACAGATCACTTGAGGTCAGGAGTTTGAGATCAGCCTGGCCAACATGGCAAAACCCTGTCTCTACTGAAAATAGAAAAATTAGCCAGGTGTGATGGCACGCACCTGAAGTCCCAGCTACTCAGGAGGCTGAGGCAGGAGAATCACTTGAACTCGGGAGGCGGGGGCCGAGATTGCACCACTGCACTCCAGCCTGGGCGACAGAGCATGACTGTCTCAAGGGAAACACACACACACACACACACACACACACACACACACACACACACTCACACTCTCTCTCTCTCTCTCTCTCTCTCTCTCTCTCTCACTCACTCTGCTGGGCCCCACTTTGAGTTTCTGATGCAGTAGGTCTGGTTAAGGGCCCATGGATTGGCATTTCTATTAAGTTCCCGGTGGATCCTGATGCTAAATAAAAACACAAAGTTGTTTGAGGCAGACTTAGAGCAAGTTTCATCTATAGTAGAAGGAAAATAAGTGCCTCCAGGAATCAGAGAAAGGAAGACAGGCTGGACTGATGAAAATGCTGGGTCTTCAGCTGGGCCTCTGGAGTTAGGAAGGAAAGGCTAGCCAGATTGAAAGCCAGGTGCCTGTGACGAATCTCTGCTCCCCTTTCAGGCCCACGCCCAAGCCTGGCATTCTTATAACACCACATGGCGCAGCAAGCAGCAAGGTGAGCTGTGCCCACACGTGTACCCAGGACGGCCAAGTCCCCGGAGCAGCAATGGCATGTCCACCTCCCACCCCCTTTTCTTTCTTTCCTTTTAAGGTCTGGTGGGAATTTCACTGAACTGTGACTGGGGGGAACCTCTGGACATCAGTAACCCCAAGGACATAGAGGCGGCTGAGAGATATCTACAGTTCTGTCTGGGCTGGTTTGCCAACCCCATTTATGCCGGTGACTACCCCCAAGTCATGAAGGACTATATTGGTGAGCCCAGTCTCATTTTAAACTGCAGATACCATGGCAAGTTATTGAGCCCACGTGAAATGAGCAAAAGGCAGGGGGATGAGGAGCTCATTGGGCCTGGGGGAGGTACTCAAGGGATAATCCAGACTCCAAAGAATTGAGAACCTGATATTTGAATTGGTAGGGAGGAACCCTAGACCTCTCAGTTTCCCTAGACCAGCCGGGTGTGGTGGCTCATGCCTGTAATCCCAGCACTTTGGGAGGCCGAGGTGGGCAGATCACAAGGTCAGGAGTTCAAGACCAACCTGACCAACATGGTGAAACCTCGTCTCTACTAAATAATACAAAAATTAGCTAGGTGTGGTGGCGGGCACCTGTAATCCCAGCTACTCAGGAGGCTGAGGTAGGAGAACCCCTTAAACCCAGGAGGCGGAGGTTGCAGTGAGCTGAGATAGAGCACTGCACTCCAGCCCGGGCAACAGAGTGAGACTCCATCTTTTTAAAAAAAAAAAAAAAAAAAAAAAAAAATTCCCTAGACCTGGCAATGGAGAATTTTTGGAACTCGTGGAAGAAAGTGGCAGTTCTTTATTAGGTTCTGCTGCCCTTCCCCTCCTCCACCCCACTTTAACTGCAGTCAGGCAGGAGACAGGTCAGATGCAGTCACGGGCCTGAGTCGGTTCTGCTGTCGGTTCTTTCTGTCAATGGAGAAATACTTCCCAAGCTCCGGTTTCCACAGTGTCCGAGAAGAGAACAAACACAGGTAAGGCTACAGGGATACATCAGGATGGAGGTTTTTCACTGCCATGTAACAGAAGATTCTACTAAAATGGCCTGAAGTAGGGAATTTATCAATCTCACCTGAGCCCAAGAAGGGTGATGCAGGGCTAGGTAATCCAGCCTTCAGGGCTGCCCTTGAGGACCCAGGCTCATTCTATCTTTCCACTCTGGCACCCTTAGTTAGCCTATCAAGGCCAGGCGTGGTGGCGCATGCCTGTAATCCCAGCACTTTGGGAGGCAGAGGCAGGCAGATCATGAGGTCAAGAGATCAAGACCATCCTCACCAACATGGTGAAACCCTGTCTCTATTAAAAATACAAAAATTAGCCGAGCATGGTGGTGAGCGCTTGTAATCCGAGCTACTCGGCAGGCTGAGATGGAAGAATCACTTGAACCAGGAGGCAGAGGTTGCAGTGAGCCGAGATTGGGCTACTGCATTCCAGCCTGGTCTCAGAGCGAGACTCCGTCTCAAAAAAATAAATAGCCCATCAACCAATCCTCGTGGCCACAAGGTGACTGCAGCAACTCCAGGCATCACATCTTTGAACCTCAACACACAAAGACAGAAAAAGGGGATCATGCTGTCCAAATATGTTTTGGGATGGGCCTTTTTGGCCTTTTTTTCCCAAATTTCTTTTTGTGGCAAAATACACGTAAAATTTACCTTTGTTGCCATTTTTAAGTGTACAGTTCAGTGGTATAAAACACATTCATAACGTGCTGCTGTTGCTGCCATCCATCTCCAGAACTCTTTATCTTGCAAAACTGACACTCTGCCGAGTCCCTGGCAACCACTATTCTACTGTCGCTATGACTTTGACTAAGTGTCTCGTGTAAGTGGAATCATACGGTATTTGTCTTTGTGTGACTGGCTCATTTTAGTTAGCATAATGTTCTCAAGGTTCATCCATTTTGTAGTATGTCAGAATTTCCTTCCTTTTTAAGGCTGAATAATATTCCATTGTCAGCCGGACGTGGTGGCTCACGCCTGTAATCCCAGCACTTTGGGAGCCTGAAGTGGGCAGATCACCTGAGATCAGGAGTTCAAGACCAGCCTGACCAACATGGCAAAAATCCCATCTCCACTAAACATACAAAAAATAGCCGGGTGTGGTGGTGGCACGTGCGTGTAATCCCAGCTACTCGGGAGGCTGAGGCAGGAGAATTGCCTGAACCCAGGAGGCGGAGGTTGCGGTGAGCCGAGATCGCGCCATTGCACTCCAGCCTGGGTAACAAGAGTGAAACTCCGTCTCAAAAAAAAAAAAAAAAAAAAAAAATTTTTTTTAAAATTCCATGAAGTCCAGTTTGTTCCTTTTGCCTATTTTTGTTGCCTGTGCCTTTAGTGTCAGAGTCAAGATATAATTGCCCTTAAACAATGATCAGAAGTATTAAGGAAAAAAAAAAGATAAAACTGCCTAATTAAATGTTATGGTGTTTTTGCTCTGTTTTCTTTTTTCTTTTTTTTTGATGGAGTCTCATTCTTTCACCCAGGCTGGAGTGCAATGTCGTGATCTCAGCTCGCTGCAGCCTCCGCCTCCCCAGTTCAAGCAATTCTTCCTCAGCCTCCCAAGTAGCTGGGATTACAGGCACCCGCCATCATGCCCACCTAATTTTCGTATTTTTGTAGAGATAGGGATTCACCATGTTGGCCAGGCTGATCTTGCACTCCTGATCTCAGCTGATCTGCCCACCTCAGCCTCTCCAGTGGCTCAAGCCTGTAATTTTTTCTTTCTTTTTTTTCTTCTTCTTCTTTTTTTTTTTTTTTTTTGAGACAGGGTCTCTTGCTCTGTCACCCAGGCTGGAGAGCAGTGGAGCGATCGTGACTCACTGCAGCCTCAACCTCCCCAGGCTCCAGTGATCCTCCCACCTCAGCCTCCTGAGGGACCGCAGGCACATACCACCATGCCCAGCTAATTTTTTGTAGACTTTGTAGAGACCGGGTTTCATCATGTAGCCCAAGCTGGTTTCAAAGCCCTAGGCTCAAGCTATCTGCCCACCTTGGTCTCCCAAAGTGCTGGGATTACAGGTGTGGGTTACCATGCCAGGCCATGTTTTCTTCTAAGGTGTTTTTTGAGACCGAGTACAGTGACATGATCTTGGCTCACTGCAACCTCTAGCTCTCAGATTCAAGTGATTCCCCTGCCTTAGCCTCCTGAGTAGCTGGGATTAAAGGTATGCACCACCATGTCTGTCTAATTTTTGTATTTTTAGGAGAGAGAGGGTTTTGCCATGTTGACCAGCCTGATCTTGAACTCCTGACCTCAGGAGTTCTGCCTGCCTCAGAGTTCTGCCTGCCTTGGCCTCCCAAAGTGCTGGGATTACAGGCGTGAGCCACCATGCGCAGCCTCTTCTAAGTCTTTTCGTTTTAGGTCTTGATCCATTTTTTGTGAAGAGTCCAATTTCATTCTTTTGCATGTGGATATCCAGTCCTCCCAGTACCTCTTATTGAAAAGAGTGCCCTTTCCCCACTGAATGGTGTTGGCACCCTTGACAAAATCGTTTCATCATTTACACGAGGGCTGCTTCTGGGCTCTTCACTCTATCCTGTTTGTCTTTTTGCCAATCACAGTGTTTTGATTATTGTAGCTTTGTAGGAAGTTTTAAACTCAGGAAATGTGAGCTCTCCAGCTTTGCACTTCTTTTTCAGTATTGTTATGACTATTCACAGTCACTGAGATTCCATACAAATCTTAGGATGGGTTTTTCTACTTGGCAAAAAAAAGTCATTGGGATTTTGAAAGGGACTATGTTTAATCTGTACATCACTTTGGATAGCACTGACATTTGACAACGTTAGGTCTAATCCAAGAACGTGACATATGTTTCCATTTATTTATGTTTAATTTCTTTCAGCAGTTTTTTGTAGGTTTTGTTATGCAAGTCTTTCATCTCTTTGGTTAATTTCTAAATATTTTTGTTTTTGATGCTAAGTGGTATTTTCTTATTTTCATTTTCAGATTGTTCATTGTTGATGTATAGAAATGTAACTGGTTTCTGTGTTACCTCTGTATGGAGCTAACTTGCCAAATTCACTTATTAGCTCTAACAAATTTTTTATGGTATCTTTAAGATTTTCTGTATATAAGATCATATCATCTGTGAACAGAGTTAATTTTTACTTCTTTTCTAATTTAGATGCCTTCTATTTTTCTTGTATAATTACTCTGGCTAGAACTCTCATTACCATATTGAATAGAACTGGTGAAAGCAGGTATCTTTTTCTTGTTCCTAAGTTTTGGTTTTTGTTTGTTTTGAGACAGAGTCTCTCACTGTTGCCGAGGCTGGAGTGCAGTGGTGCAATCTTGGCTTACTGCAATCTCTGCCTCCTGCCTCCTGGGTTCGAGCAATTCTTGGGCCTTGGCCACCCGAGTAGCTGGGATTACAGGCTCGGACCACCACGCCTGGCTAATTGTATTTTTAGTAGAAATAGGATTTTGCTATGTTGGCCAGGCTGGTCTTGAACTCCTGGTTTCAAGCGATCTGCCCACCTTGGCCTCCCAAATTATAGGAATTACAGGTGTGAACCAGTGTGCCCAGCCATTCCTCTTAACTATTTTAAAGAACAAGAAAAATCTTCCCAGGAAACAGCTTCTGTCCCTTTGTGCCTCAAGGGACAGAACGGTCACATGCTTAGGTCAGGTGATGCCCCAGACCATCATGACCAGGGAGAGGCTGGAGAGGAAGGGGCACAGAAGAAGACAGGCACAGGACTACTGGGTAGGCGACCGGCAGTGTCTGAGCATAGAAATTTAAACGTATTATCCCTGATTTAAAGGAAAAGGAGAGACACAAAAATAACGCTGTAATTGGGTTACGATTTCATGCAACAAAGCTGCTTGAGGTGTCTGAAAAATGCAATGCCTCTTTCTAAAACACATTTATCAAACAGACTTATCTGGAACGGGAGGTAGCAAGTTCTCATTCCAACTCTGCCACTAACTAGTGAGTAACTGGGCAAGGTGCTTCACCTCTTTGCCTCTTAATATTATCATATTATCTGAAAATGAAGGCATTAGACAAAATCTGATTTTGTTTTTGTTTGAGACAGAGTCTTACTCTGTCACCCACGCTGGAGTGCAGTGGCATGATCTGGGCTCACTGCAACCTCCGTCTCCCAGGTTCAAGTGATTCTCCTGCCTCAGCCTCCTGAGTAGCTGAGACTACAAGCACCCGCCACCACACCTGGCTAATTTTGTATTTTTAGTAGAGATGGGGTTTCACTATGTTGGCCAGGCTGGTCTCAAACTCCTGATTTCAGGTGATCCGCCCGCCTCAGCCTCTCAAAATGCTGGATTACAGGTGTGAGCCACCTTGCCTGGCTGACAAAATATTTAAAAATCTTTTGGTGGCAACCAGTTCTTTGACACATCTATACACATACACTCAAAATCTTGACAATGATTTCCTCAACATGCGCAAGGAAAAAGCCTTCATGAAGGGACTGACAGGGCCCACGTCCCTGTAGACACAACTTATTCACACGGTGCATTCATTCTCTTGGGACCCTCAGAGGCCCATTGCAGGTGCCACAAAAAGATTGCATTAAAAAGCCAAATCGACTGTTTGTCAGAGAGCACTTAATGCCAATAATCCCAGCCCCTACCAACTCCAATTTTGTGATGATGCACGTGGGGAACAGGCTGAACTTTTCTTTTGCACAATGCTGAAAGAAGGATCCTCTAAGTTAGTTTTATTTAGTACTGCAAGCATTCTGCCTGAAGTCTTGTTCACAAATTACTTCCAGGCCTCTTAGAAGTACTCTTTTAGATTGAGACCAACATGGTGAAATCCTATCTCTACTAATAATACAGAAATTAGCTGGGCATGGTGGCACACGCCTGTAGTCCCAGCTACTCAGGAGGCTGAGGCAGGAGAATCACTTGAACCCGGGAGGTGGAGGTTGCAGTGAGCTGAGACTGCGCCACTGCACTCCAGCCTGGCGACAGAGCAAGACTCTGTCTCAGAAGAAAAAAGGTACTCTTTTACTCACAGTAAATATATAAACAAAAGCGCTTCCAGATCAGTGCCGTTCAACAGAACTTTCCACAGTGACGGAAGTGTTCTATGTATGTGCTATCCAATTATCCAGTACAACAGCTTCTAGCCACTAGTGTGTACTAAAATTTTTAAAAATTAAACAACATTAAAATGCAATCCTTCGGTCACTATATTTTAATAGCCACATGCAGCAAGTGACTGCTGTATTACTGCAGGGGCACGGACGATAGCTGGTGGTTTTTCTTAAGTCAGTAAATGCAACCGAAATAACATGCTGATATTTTATTCGCTTTATGCTAATATCTTAAAAGTATTTAACAACACCAACTTTGTAATCATTTTATATAAACTATTCACTTTATAACTAGTCTTAGGGTTATATTTTAGATCAATTCATGGGAAATGTTTTTCTTTATATATTAAAAACCATTTTTACATAGTTCACACATGGATATGTCTCACATTTTTTAGAAAAGTATGAAGTCAGGTCTCTCTCCCTTCCTCCCCAGAAGCAAGTATATGTCCAGAGATGGATTGTGCATATGGTCAGTGTGTATACTTGCGATTAGATGCAACATTCTGAAGCTTGTTTTCACTGAAACATACATCCTGGCAAGCTTTCCACATCGCTCTAGAAAGTGCCACCTCATTTGTTCTAATGGCTGCAGTGTTGAACTGATGGATATTTCATCATTTATGTAACCAGTCCCTCCTGACAGACACTGAGGTTGTTTCCAAGCTGTTGCTACTCAGTCTATAATGAAGATCCTTGTACACACACCCCTTTACATGTGTGAGTAAAGTGTAAACAGATTTGGAATTGGTCAGTGAAAGAACATTTGCTTTTATAACTTTCAAAGATAGGACACACCATCGCTGGCCTTCCAGTTCCCTTCCCAGAGGCAGCTAAAATTACCCATTTTTATTTTTTAATTTTTTGTAATGGAGTTTCACTCTTATTGCCCAGGCTAGAGTGCAACGGAGCAATCTTGGCTCACTGCAACCTCCGCCTACTGGGTTCAAGTGATTATCCTGCCTCAGCCTCCTAAGTAGCTGGGATTACAGATGCGTGCTACCACACCCAGCTAATTTTTATATTTTTAGTAGATACGGGTTTCACCATGTTGCCCAGGCTGGTCTCAAACTCCTGACCTCATGATACGCCTGCCTCAGCCTCCCAAAGTGCTGGGATTACAGGCAAGTGCCATGGCACCCGGCCAAATTACCCATTTTTAAGGAACAATATAGGGGCCCAAGTCATCTTTTTTTCCAGTTGGCTACACACCACTTATTGAGTAATCTGTGAAAATACTACTATTTTTTTTTTTTTTTTTTTTTTTTTTTTTGAAACGGAGTTTCACTCATGTTACCCAGGCTGGAGTGCAATGGTGCGATCTCGGCTCACCGCAACTTCCGCCTCCTGGGTTCAGGCAATTCTCCTGCCTCAGCCTCCTGAGTAGCTGGGATTACAGGCACGCGCCACCATGCCCAGCTAATGTTTTTGTATTTTTAGTAGAGACGGGGTTTCACCATGTTGACCAGGATGGTCTCGATCTCTTGACCTCGTGATCCTCCCGCCTCGGCCTCCCAAAGTGCTGGGATTACAGGCTTGAGCCACCGCGCCCGGCCCCGAAAATACTACTTTTAAGTGATAAAAACTCATACATTTTTTGGACAGTATTGAAATTTCAAAAATTCCATGTTGAATGGCTAAGGTTACACTTCCCATGCAGATGAATCATAAAGCCCAGCTTTTATGTCAACATGTCACTGTCATGAAACAACACAGTGATGGGGGAAAATCAGGCATTGTTAAACTCTACTTTTCTCTCTCCAAAGGAAGAAAGAGTGCGGAGCAAGGCCTGGAGATGTCGAGGTTACCAGTGTTCTCACTCCAGGAGAAGAGCTACATTAAAGGCACATCTGACTTCTTGGGATTAGGTCATTTTACTACTCGGTACATCACGGAAAGGAACTACCCCTCCCGCCAGGGCCCCAGCTACCAGAACGATCGTGACTTGATAGAACTGGTTGACCCAGACTGGCCAAATCTGGGGTCTACATGGCTGTATGCTGTGCCATGGGGATTCAGGAGGCTCCTCAACTTTGCTCAGGTGATTCTCACATTAACCTATTCGAAGGACATTTAGATTGAATTCATGTTCTTAAAGCTTTAGCTCAGGTCCATACATTAGAAAGTTAATAAGATAAACCTAGTTACTCATATTTCGGAGGCTAAGTATTGGCCTTACAGACTCGTGCCTACCATGCGTAACCATTTGTATGTACGTACCTTTAGCTGACATTCTTATCCCACATACTTATTTTGCTGTCCTCCTCACCTAAACTGGAATATGTGGCAAAGAACAAGACCAAAGTACGTGTTGCCTCCTCCAACAACGCTTTTTTTTTTTTGGGAGATGGAGTCTTGCTTGGTCGCCCAGGCTGGAGTGCGGTGGCACAGTCTCGGCTCACTGCAACCTCTGCCTCCCAGGTTCAAGCGATTCTCATGTCTCAGCCTCCCAAGTAGCTGGGATTACAAGTGCCTGCCACCAAACCTGGCTAATTTTTGTATTTTTAGTAGAGGCAGGGTTTTGCCATGTTGGTCTTGAACTACTGACCTCAGGTGATTGGCCTACCTTGGCCTCCCAAAGTGCTGGGATTACAGGCGTGAGCCACCGTATCCAGGAACGATGCTCATGTGTTGAGAAATACATTCTTCATATGAACCTGTTGCCTGCCTACATTAATCTCTAAATAAGCATGTTATCTGACATCTACTAAATGTGAAAATATACTTGATTAGAATTTGGCAGGCTTGAATATGTGTTCCTATCTGGGCCTCTGATCAGAAACCTACCTGTAGTACGGTTATAATTTTTAAAATATTTGTTGGTATGACTCACTTTCAGACTCAATATGGCAATCCTCCCATATATGTGATGGAAAATGGAGCATCTCAGAAATTCCACTGTACTCAATTATGTGATGAGTGGAGAATTCAATACCTTAAAGGATACATAAATGAAATGCTAAAAGGTGAGACGCAAACCAAGTCTGCACATTTTCCACTTAACTGAGACAAAATATGATTAACACACATGATCCACTGCAACTTGCTTCTAAATGTCATAAATGAAAACATTTTAACATTCTCTTCGCAGTTTTATTTTTCTAAGTAAATGAAATATATTTACAATGGAATAAAATGTCTTTGCAGCTATAAAAGATGGTGCTAATATAAAGGGGTATACTTCCTGGTCTCTGTTGGATAAGTTTGAATGGGAGAAAGGATACTCAGATAGATATGGATTCTACTACGTTGAATTTAACGACAGAAATAAGCCTCGCTATCCAAAGGCTTCGGTTCAATATTACAAGAAGATTATCATTGCCAGTGGGTTTCCCAATCCAAGAGAGGTAGGCCTAATTATCAATGTTACCTGTTCTGAACTTGAGAAGAGCTAGGTAGCTGGAACACACACAGCTTGGCAAGTACCTCTCCTCTTTCCTCCATGAAAGAGGGAAGACAGGAGTATGAGCATGGCCGTTTATTTCACCCCTTTGCGCATTTGCTTAGGATGGAGCAAGCACTCCATAAACTTCAGTACCAGGGCACGACCAGAGGTTATGCAGGAGTTCCGTTTGCTTTCAGCTATGATGGGGCAAAATTAAGAGACTTCTAGTTGAATGTTACTGTAAATCTGTGTCTTAATGCAAACAAATACCTATTCTTCAACATATATGAAAACATTTAAGTAAATCAAACGTATAATTATCATAGCATTTTCATCTATCTTCCAGCCACGCAGCAGAGCCATACAAACACAGGCTTCAAAGTAAGATCTAAAGTAATCTACCATATTTTCTTTTCTTTTCTTTTTTTGGAGACAGTCTTGCTCTGTCTCCCAGGCTGGAGTGCAGTGGCACGATCTTGGCTCAGTGCAACTTCCACCTCCCAGGTTCAAGCAATTCTCCCGCCTCAGCCTCCTGAGTAGCTGGGATTACAGGTGCGTGCCACCACACCTGGCTAATTTTTGCATTTTTAGTGGAGATGAGGGATTACAGGTGTGAGCCACCATGCCTGGCCCAAACATTTGCAATAACCTGAAAATTTTTCTAGCAGCCCTCTATTCTCTATGTGGAGGCACCAGTTGGTAGGGAATATAAACCCTAATTTAGAGTGTCTTGGCAGGTACAGTGGCTCACGCCTGTAACCCCAGCACCTTGCGAGGCTGGAGTGACAGGACTGCTCGAGGCCAAGTGTTCAAGACCAGCATAGGCAACACAGCGAGATCTCGTTTCTACAAAAAATTTAAAAATCAGCTGGATGTGGAGGCGTGCCTTAGTCCCAGCTACTTGGGAGACTGAGGCGTTGAGGATCACTTGAGCCCAAGAGTCTGAGGCTGCAGCGAGCTATGACTGCTGCACTGTACTCCAGCCTGAGCAACAGACCAAGACTCTGTTTCTAAAAATTAAAATAGGCCAGGTGTGATGGCTCACGCCTGTTAATCCCAGCACTTTGGGAGGCTCAGGTGGGTGGAGCATGAGGTCAAGAAATCAAGACCATCCTGGCCATGGTGAAACTCCATCTCTACTAAAAACACAAAACTTTAGCTAGGCATGGTGGCATGCACCTATAGTCCCAGGTACTCAGGAGGCTGAAGCAGGAGAATTGTTTGAACCCGGGAGGTGGTGGTTGCAGTGAGCCGAGATCACGCCACAGCACTCCAGCCTGGGCAACAGAGTGAGACTCTGTCTGAAAAAAAATTTTTTTAAATAAAAAGTGTCTTAATAAAAATAGTTTTAAAAAGTATATCTCATTTGTTTACCAAAAGTATTTTAAGGTGAACCCAGTAGGACTATTAAATGGAAGCAGTAACTCATAGCCATATAGCATTTGCTACTTTTACATGATTAGAAAAGCACTAGCCTGCACACTCAAGAACAAAGACTGTTCTTTGACTCCCTGACTGATGTACATGGATGTAAATATTAACTAATTTAAACTACAAGTAAAGATGATTTTAAAACAAACTATAAGATAGACTTATAAAAATATTTTATCCCACATTTATTTCAAAAATGATTTGAAACAGCAAAAAATTAGTCTTAAGACATTACTTATCAAGTGGCTTTTTATCAGGTGGAAAGTTGGCACCAGAAAGCTTTGGAAACTTGCTCTATCAACAATCAGATGCTTGCTGCAGGTGAGTCAGTACGTTTTCATATTTTCCTTTAGTAATTAAGTAATTATATATGTCGTTACCAAAATCTCGAAATGTGACTCTACTTGAAGTCAATCTTCCAAAACTGCTTACGATTAAAATCAGGTTTCTTTACTTTGAAGCAATGTCAAATTTCTTTTTATAGGCCGGGCGCGGTGGCTCACGCCTGTAATCCCAGCACTTTGGGAGGCCGAGATGGGTGGATCACGAGGTCAAGAGATCGAGACCATCCTGGTCAACATGGTGAAACCCCGTCTCTACTAAAAAAATACAAAAAATCAGCTGGGCATGGTGGCGCATGCCTGTAATCCCAGCTACTCAGGAGGCTGAGGCAGGAGAATTGCCTGAACCCAGGAGGCGGAGGTTGCGGTCAGCCGAGATCGCGCCATTGCACTCCAGCCTGGGCAAAAAAACAAGAGCGAAACTCCGTCTCAAAAAAAAAAAAAAAAAAATAATAAAAAAAAAAAATTCTTTTTATAAGCATTTTAAACATAAATAACCTACCATGAAAGAGAAACATTTTATCCATTCAAGTTTTATCCTTTTGGAATCATACTATGAATTTATATACCTACTGTTTTTGTTACAGTGTGTTTGAGCACGGAGAGGAAAAGCCAACCATTATACCAAATGGGATGAAGATGAAAAGAACGCTTGAGATCTTATGTTTGTTCATTTGGCAAGCAATTATTAAGCATTCACTACTTGCCAAGGAATGTTTTAAGTCATGAGATATAGCAGTGAACAAGACGAGGTCACTGTCTTGATAGGAGACATCATTTCCTATGCAATGGATCTAAAAAGATCAGAGATGTCAAATAACAAAGATGCAACTATGCATCAGGAAATGCCAACACATATCATTTGTTTCTTTGAATTTTATCTTTATTTCTCCATAAGGACAATCAGAGAAATATACTTCCTTTTCTAACAAACTCATCTTTAATGCGGTAGTGGTGGTGGAAGGTGCTAGACCCAATCTTACAAAACTAGCTATTTTACAGGCCACGCCAGCAACATGCACCAACCCCCAGCAAATTTAAATAATCAGGCAATATTAAGAATGTATATTCCATTAAACTAAACAATGTTGAAACACGGTACAGAATTCACTGAGGAGCCTGTGAACTCCTTGTGAAGATGTCCAGAGCTTTATTTATCTCAGTGACCGGAGTACCAAGCACACAAACTAAAAGTGGCTATTAGATCAGTGGCCACTACTTGATCAATAATATACACGACATTTGCTGTTAATTAACTCTTAGATTATTATTCAACCATACAAGAACTACCATAATTTCTGTTTTCAGGTTATAGGAATACACAAGTTTTTCCAATACAGTTAAAGCTTTTGGGATAAAACTGTACTAACAAGATCCTGTTCTCATTTGTGGTCCTTGTTCTCTTTTGTCATTTCAGAGCCCTTGCTACGTCACATGCAAATGGTTACGGAGGTCGTGGTACCTACTGTCTGCTCCCTCTGCATTCTCATCGCTGCTGTTCTGCTAATGCTCCTTATGAGGAGGCAGAGCTGAGACAGGATTACCAATTTCGGAGCTTCATAAGAGAATCTTCAGGATCTTCGTCCCTTTTCTCCTTTCAGGGTTTACATATATTTCTGTTTTCAGGTTCTACAATAATTACCTTTTCTTCTCTTTGTCTTTTTGGCTTGTGCTGGGATTTAAGAATTAGAAAATAAAAATAAGCAGAAATTAAAAAAAAATCACTTGTAATCTCACCCCTCCTAAAGTTAATGTTAACTTTTTACTGTATATAATGAATGTATATTATGAATTATTTACAAAAATGGGGTCATAGTATACAAACTATTGTGACTTGACAGTTTATCACTCTAAAATCTGTCCAAAAATATTACTTTAATATTCAAAGGACTGCCATCTCAGCACCATCCTATACCTGATAGATGAAATCAGTCTGGTCAGGTGCAGTGGCTCATGCCTGTAATCCCAGCACTTTGGGAGGCTGAGACGGGTGAATCACTTGAGGCCAGAAGTTCGAGACCAACCTGGCCAACATGGTTGAACCCTGTCTGTACTAAAAATACAAAAACTAAGCATGGTGGTGGGTGCCTGTAATCCCAGCTACTCGGGAAGCTGAGGCAGGAGAATCACTTGGGAGGTGAAGATTGCAGTGAGCTGAGATCACGCCACTGCACTCCAGCCTGAGCAACAGAGAAGACTCCGTCTTAAAAGAGAAAAGAAATCCATAGGTAACGATCCTTCCAGGTTGTAAATATTATTAGCCACGCACAGAAAAGTGTGAGGTGGGTATCAAGTAAATGAGCACATACACTCTTCTGACACAAATGCTGACTAAATTCAACTTGCTTTATTCCATGAAATACCTCAAAGAAATATATGTTTACTTATTATCTTCTAGGTAACTCAGTATCTTGTTTTTTATAATAAAGATTCATTTTACTCTTAACTGTTAAAATGCTAAAATTAATTGATTTCCATTTATTTTGGGGATAAAACATGGCTTAAGAACAACCTTTGCAAATCAACAGGAAGTAAAAAAAAATCGCATGCATTTTACTTATTTGATTTTACTAAATACTGTTTCTGAAACTGAAAAAGACAGTAGAAAATGTCATTCCATTAATTCTTTTGGTTAATATGATCTCAAAACATTTTAAGAACAGTATTTACATCTGGGGCTAGTCCTGTGATTGGGCTGGAATAAAACTGCTTGTAACAAAACTTTGCTCTTAACGACAAATCGATATTCCTGTTCAGGGTTTTCTCTTCCATGGTTTCAAAATCAAACGCACTTTCTACTACATATACAGATTTTTAATGCAAAGATATTACCACTCAATTTTTTTTTATCTCTGGTTTTAGGATGAAACTGACCTATTCAGTTGACTACAAAAGGTAGAAAAGAGCTGCACTGCTCAGCAGCAACTGGTAAGTCTTTTATATGATTACTCATAATCCTCATTCCTACTGTGTGAATCAACATTGATGTAGAAAGAACTAGACGTAAGGTACTTAATTACAAAGTAGCTGACAAAGAGGCTAAAGGTGAACATAAATACCTTGCAGAAGGCTCCATCAGCACAATTCACTTGAAATGCACCTGGCTGCAGGTAACCAGGTTAGTAAAGGATATCCTTTCTTCCAGGCTACCATTTAGTGTTAATTCCGAAAAATCTGCAATAAACAAAAAAGAGTGAGATCAGAATTGGTTAATGTCCTGCTTGCTTTTCTACCATGTAGAATGCTGAATTTACAACAATACGATAACCTTCGCCTCCCAAAGTGCTGGGATTACAGGTGTGAGCCACATGTTTTCTTCTTTAAAAGACATGTTTCTTCTTAAAATTTTTTAAAGAATACCTTTTTTTTTTTTTTTTTTTCTGTACTATTAGAAGTAGAGTCCTTAGCATGTTTCTTCTTTAAAAAACAATAGACATAGATAGAATGTTTAGTTTAGGTTGGTGGTTCTCAGCCACAGTTGTACAACAGAATCACCTGAAGAGCTTTACAAATTACTGATGTCCTGTCTGTACTCCCAGAGATTCTGATTTACTTGGTATGAGCAAAAGAACTTTTCTTTTTCCTTTGAGACAGGGTCTCACTCTGTTACCCAGGCTGGAGTGCAGTGGCACAACCTCAGCTCACTGTAGCCTCAACCTCCTGGGCTCAACTAATTCTCCCACATCAGCCTCCCAAGTAGGTAGGACTATAGGCACATGTCACCACATGCAGCTAATTTTTGTATTTTTTTGTACAGATGGTGTCCCACTGTGTTACTCAGGCTGGTCTTGAACTCTTAGATGCCAAGTGATCATCCTGCCTTAGCCTCCCAAAGTGCTAGGATTACAATCGTGAGCCACTGCACCTAGCTTAGGCAACAGAATTTTAAAAGCTCCACAGAGGCTGGGCGCGGTGGCTCAAGCCTGTAATCCCAGCACTTTGGGAGGCCCAGGCGGGTGGATCACGAGGTCAAGAGATCGAGACCATCCTGGTCAACATGGTGAAACCCCGTCTCTACTAAAAATACAAAAAATTAGCTGGGCATGGTGGTGCGTGCCTGTAGTCCCAGCTACTCAGGAGGCTGAGGCAGGAGAATTGCCTGAACCCAGGAGGCGGAGGCTGCGGTGAGCCGAGATCGTGCCATTGCACTCCAGCCTGGGTAACAAGAGCGAAACTCCGTCTCAAAAAAAAAATAAATAAATAAAATAAAAGCTCCACAGATGATTCCAGTGTTTAGCCCAAAGCGGGCTATCTGCGCTACCACCATTCCACCTCTCACGGCTAAAATCTGCTTGTATCCTTCCAGATCTAAGTCCCAATCTCTGTTTTTGCTACCATAAGCAGTACCACAACTACTAATCTTGTTCATAGGTCTGTTTGCACATGTCTGATTACATGTGTGTCATAAATTCCTACGATGAAACTGCTAGGCCAAAGGAAAATACATACTTTTGTTGTTTTCTTTTTTCTTTGAGGTGGAACCTCGCTCTGCCACCCAGGCTGAAGTACAGCAGTGGCTGATCTTGGCTCATTGCAACCTCTGCCTCCCAGGTTCTAGCAATTCTCCTGCCTCAGCTTTCCAAGTAGCTGGGATTACAGGGACACACCACCATGTCCAGGTATTCTTTTAGATTTTTGATGGGTACCACCTTCCACAGAAGCTGTACGACTTGACATTCCCACCAGAAACGTGTGAGAATGATTGCCTGTTCTCCCACACCCATTACCAGCACTGACACCAAACTTTTTGATCTTCGCTAATATGGAACAGGCATCTATATAATATAAATTTGCATTTCTTCTATCATAGGTCAGGTTGAGCATGTTTTCTTTTTTTTTTTTTTTTTTCCCGAGACGGAGTTTCGCTCTTGTTACCCAGACTGGAGTGCAATGGCGCGATCTCGGCTCACTGCAACCTTCGCCTCCTGGGTTCAGGCAATTCTCCTGCCTCAGCCTCCTGAGTAGCTGGGATTACAGGCATGCGCCACCATGCCCAGCTAATTTTTGTATTTTTAGTAGAGACGGGGTTTCATCATGTTGACCAGGATGGTCTCGATCTCTTGACCTCGTGATCCACCCGCCTCGGCCTCCCAAAGTGCTGGGATTACAGGCTTGAGCCACCGCGCCCGGCGCATGTTTTATTCTTTTACATTTTTTAGAGATGGAATCTCACTATGTTGCCAAGCTAGCCTTGAACTCTTGGGCTCAAGCAATCTCTCCCACCTCAGCCTCCCAAGTAGCTGGGAGTACAAGCGAGCACATCTTATTTTTAAAATGACATTTGAATTTCCTCTTGGTACACTGTTTCTCCATTTTTCTATTAACATTTTTCTTACTGATATATATCCCCTTTTCTGAAAATGGGCTGCAAATTTTTGTGAGATGGAGTCTCACTCTGTTGTCCAGGCTGGAGTGCAGTGGCGTGATCTCAGCTCACTGCAACCTCTGCCTCCCAGGTTCAAGCAATTCTCCTGCTAATTTTTTGTATTTTTTTGGTAGAGACGGAATTTTGCCAGGCTGATCTTGAATTTCTGATCTTGTGATCTGCCTGCCTCAGCCTCTCAAAGTGCTAGGATTACAGGTGTGAGCCACCACACCCAGCCTGGGCGACACATTTTTTCCTAGTTTATAATTTGTCTATTTTGCCTCCGATATGTTTTGCCATGAGGAATTTTTTCTATTTTTACAGCTGATTCTTACATCACTTCCAGGTTTTATGTCACACATAGAAAAAAAAAAAAAAAAGCACAATTTTTATTTATTTTCATTGTGCTTTAGGTTCTGGGGTACATGTGCAGATCATGCAGGATTCTTGCATAGGTACATACATGGCAAGGTGGTTTGCTGCCTTCCTCCCCCCATCACCTATATCTGGTATTTCTCCCGACCTTATCCTTCCCCACCCTCCCCACCCCCTCGCTGTCCCTCCCCTAGTACCCCCTCAACTGACCGCAGTGTATGATGCTCCTCTCCCTGTGTCCACGTGTTCTAATTGTTCAACACCCGCCTATGAGTGATACCATGTGGTGACTGATTTTCTGTTCTTGTGTCAGTTTGCTGAGAATGATGGTTTCCAGATTCATCCATGTTCCTATGAAAGACATGAACTCATTGGTTTTTTATGGCTGCGGAGTATTCCATGGTGTACATGTGCCACATTTTCTTTAGCCAGTCTATTGTTGATGGACATTTGGGTTGGTTCCAGGTCTCTGCTATTGTAAACAGTGCCACTATGAACATACATGTGCATGTGTCTTTATAATAGAACGATTTATAATTCTTTGGGTATATACCCAGTAATGGGATTGCTGGGTCAAATGGTATTTCTATTTCTTGGTCCTTGAGGAATCACCACACTGTCTTCCACAATGGTTGCACTAATTTGCACTCCCACCAACAGTGTAAAAGTGTTCCTATTTCTCCACATCCTCTCCAGCATCTGTTGTCTCCAGATTTTTTAATGATGGTCATTCTAACTGGTGTGAGATGGTATCTCAATGTGGTTTTGATTTGCATTTCTCTGATGACCAGTGATGATGAGCATTTTTTCATGTTTTGTTGGCTTCATAGATGTCTTCTTTTGTAAAGTGTTCATATCCTTCATCCACTTTTGAAAAGCATTGTTTTCTTCTTGTAAATCTGTTTTAGTTCTTTGTAGATTCTGGATATTGACCCTTTGTCAGATGGGTAGATCACAAAAAATTTTTCCCATTCTGTTGGTTGCCAATTCGCTGTAATGATTGTTTCCTTTGCTGTACAGAAGCTGTAGAGTTTAATTAGATCCCATGTCTATTTTGGCTTTTGTTGCCATTGCTTTTGGTGTTTTAGCCGTGAAGTCCTTGCCTATGCCTATGTCCTGAATGGTTTTGCCTAGGTTTTCTTCTAGGATTTTTATGGTGTTAGGTTGTATGTTTAGATCTTTAATCCATCTGGAGTTAAGTTTAGTGTAAGGTGTCAGGAAAGGGTCCAGTTACTGCTTTCCGCACATGGCTAGCCAGTTTTCCCAACATCATTTATTAAACAGGGAATCCTTTCCCCATTGCTTTTCTCAGGTTTGTCAAAGATCAGATGGTTACAGACATGTGGTGTTGCTTCCGAGGCCTCAGTTCTGTTCCATTGGTCTATGTCTCTGTTTTGGTACCAGTACCATCCTGTTTTGATTACTTTGGCCTTGTAGTATAGTTTGAACTCAGGCAGCATGATGCCTCCAGCTTTGTTCTTTTTGCTTAGGATTGTTTTGGCTATGTGGGCTGGCTCTCTTTTGGTTCCATATGAAGTTTGAAGTGGTCATTGGAAGCTTGGTGGGAATAGCATTGAATCTATAAATTACTTTGGGCAATATGGCCATTTTCATGATGTTGATTTTTCCCAACCATGAGCATGGAATGTTTTCCCATCTGTTCGTGTCCTCTTATTTCATTGAGCAGTGGTTTGTAGTTCTTGAAGAGGTCCTTTGCATCCTTTGCTAGTTGTATTCCTAGGTATTTTATTCTGTTTGTAGCAATTGTGAATGAGAGTTCACTTTTGATTTGGCTCTGTTATTGGTGTATAGAAATGCTTGTGATTTTTGTATATTGATTTTGTATCCTGAGACTTTGCTGAAGTTGCTTATCAGTTTCAGGGGATTTTGGGCTGAGACGCTGGGGTCTCCTAAATATACAATCATGTTATCTGCAAATAGAGATAATTGGCTTCCTCTTTTCCTAAATGAATACCCTTTCTTTTTCTTGCCTGATTGCTCCGTCTAGCACTTCCAATACTGTATTGAATAGGAGTGGTGAGAGACGGCATCCTTGTCTTGTGCCAGATTTCAGAGAGAATGCTTCCAGTTTTTGCCCATTCAGTATGATATTGGCTGTGGGTTTGCCATAAATAGCTTTTATTATTTTGTGATATGTTCCATCGATACCTAGTTTATTGAGGGTTTTTAGCATAAAGGGCTGTTGAATTTTTGTCGAAGGCCTTCTCTGCATCTATTGAAACAATCGTGGTTTTTGTCTTTGGTTCTGTTTATGTGATGGATTATGTTTATAGACTTGCATATGTTGAACCAGCCTTGCATCCCTGGGATGAAGCCTACTTGCTTGTGATGAATAAACTTTTTGATTTGCTGTTGCATTCTGTTTGCCAGTATTTTATTAAAGATTTTTGTGTCGATGTTCATCATGGATATTGGCCTGAAGTTTTCTATTTTAGTTGTGTCTCTGCCCGGTTTTGGTGTTAGGACGATGTTGGTCTCATAAAATGAGTTGAGGAAGATTCCCTCTTTTTGTATTGTTTGGAATAGTTTCAGAAGAAATAGTGCCAGCTCCTCTTTGTATGTCTGGTAGAATTCAGCTGTAAACCTGTCTGGACCTGGGCTTTCTTTAGTTGGTAGGCTATTAATTGCTGCCTCAACTCCAGCCTTTGTTATTGGTCTATTCAGGGTCTCAACTTCTTCCTGGTTTAGTCTTGGGAGTGTGCAAGTGTCCAGGAATTTATCAATTTCTTCCAGATTTACTGGTTTGTGTGCATAGAGTTCTTTGTAGTAATCTCCGATGGTAGTTTGTATTTCTGTGGAATCAGTGGTGATGTCCCCTTTGTCGTTTTCTATTGCATCTATTTGATTCTTTTCGCTTTTCTTTTTTATTAGTCTGGCTAGTGGTCTATCTATTTTGTTGATCTTTTCAAAAAACCAGCTCCTGGATTTGTTGATTTTTTCTGAAGGGTTTTTTATATCTCTATCTCCTCCAGTTCTGCTCTGATCTTAGTTATTTCTTGTCTTCTGCTAGCTTTTGAGTTTTTTTGTTCTTGCTCCTCTCTTTCAATTTTGATGATAGAGTGTTGATTTTTGACCTTTCCTTGCTCCTCATATGGGCATTTATTGCTATGAATTTCCCTCTAGACACTGCTTTAAATGTGTCCCAGAGATTCTGGTATGTTGTGTCTTCATTCTCGCTTTATTTGAAGACAGAATATACTTATTTCTGTCTTCGTTTCATTGTTTATCCAGTTGACATTTGGGAGCCAGTTGCTCATTTTCCATGAAGTTGTGCAGTTTTGAGTTTGTTTCTTAATCCTGAGTTCTAATTTGATTGCACTGTGGTCTGAGAGACTGTTAAATGATCTCTATTCTTCTGCATTTGCTGAGGAGTGATTTACTTCCAATTATGTGGTCGATTTTAGAGTAAGTGCGATGTGCTGCTGAGAAGAATGTATACTCTGTGGATTTGGGGTGGAGAGTTCTGTAAATGTCTATTAAGTTCACTTGGTCCAGATCTGCATTCAAGTCCTGGATTTCCTTGTTGATTTTCTGTCTAGTTGATCTGCCCAATATTGACAGTAGAGAGTTAGTCTCCCACTATTACTGCACGGGAGTCTAAGTCTCTTTATAGGTTAAGGACTTGCTTTATGTATGTGGGTGCTCCTGTATTGGGTGCATATGTATTTAGGATAGTTAGTTCTTCTTGTTGTATTGATCTTTTTACTATTATGTAATGCCCTTCTTTGTCTCTTTTGATCTTAGTTGGTTTGAAGTCCATTTTATCAGAGACTAGGATTGCCATCCCTGCTTTTTTTTTTTTTTTTTTTTTTTTTGCTCTCCATTTGTTTGGTAAATCTTCTATCCCTTTATTTTGAGTCTATGTGTGTCTGTGCACGTGAGATGGGTCTCTTGAATACAGCATAATGATGATTCTTGGCTTTTTATCCAATTTGCCAGTCTGTGTCTTTTGATTGCGGCATTTGGTCCATTTACATTTAATGTTAATATTGTTAATTGTGTTCCTTTCTGTGTTCAGTGCTTCCCTCAGGAGCTCTTGTAGGGCAGGTCTGGTAGTGACAAAAATCTCTCAGCACTTGCTTGTCCGTAAAGGATTTTATTTCTTCATCACTTATGAAGCTTAGTTTGTCTGGATATGAAATTCTGGGTTGAAAGTTCTTTTCTTTAAGGATGTTGACTATTGGCCCCACTGTCTTCTGGCTTGTAGGGTTTCTGCCGAGAGATCTGCTGTGAGTATGATGTGTTTCCCTTTGTAAGTTACCCGACCTTTCTCTCTGGCTGCCCTTAGTATTTTTTCCTTTATTTCAACACTGGTGAATCTGACAATTATGTGCCTTGGGGTTGCTCTTCTAGAGGAGTATCATTGTGGTGTTCTCTGTATTTCCTGTATTTGAATGTTGGCCTGCCTTGCAAGGTTGGGAAAGTTTTCTTGGATAATATCCTGAAGAGTGTTTTCCAGCTTGGATTCATTCTCCCCATGATCTTCTGGTATACCAATCAAGTGTAGATTAGGTCTTTTCACATAATGCGATATTTCTTGAAGGCTTTGTTCATTTCTTTTCACTCTTTGTTCTCTTTTCTTGCCTTCTCGTTTTGTTTGAGTTGATCTTCAATCTCTGATATCCTTCTGCTTGATCTATTCAGCTACTGAAACTTGTATATGCTTCACTAAGTTCTTGTGCTGTGTTTTTCAGCTCCATCAAGTTATGTTCTTCCCTAAGCTGATTATTCTACTTAGCATTTCGTCTAACCTTTTTTCAAGGTTTTTAGTTACTTTGCATTGGGTTAGAACATGTTCCTTTAACTCAGAGAAGTTTGTTATTATCTATCTTCTGAAGCCTGCTTCTGTAGGTTTGTCAAATTTGTTCTCTGTCCAGCTTTGTTCCCTTGCTGGTGAGGAGTTGTGATGTCGTGGCAGGGGAGAGGCATTCTGGTTTTTGATGGTTTCATTCTTGTGCTGGTTTTTTCCCACCTCATTGGATTTATAGTTTTGATTAGCTGCTTGTGGAGGCAGCCTTTCCTTTGTCTGCCTGCATAGGCACTGCTGGGCTGCCACAAGTTTAGTGGAGCTGCTGTGTCTTTTATTTATTCAGGAAAGTTAGGCCAACTTTTGCAATGGCAGCTGCTCCTCCCCCCACTGAGCTGGATTGTTCCTGGTCACTCTCTAGGTGCGAAACTCTGGCGTGAGAGTTTTTTTCAGTCAGCTGGGCTTTGTTGAGGGGCTGGGGAGCCCATCCTGCCGTATGGGCTATTTACCCGTTTTCAGTTCCCCTTCCCTCTGTGGGGAGAACAGATCCATCCAGTTGGCTTTCTGGCTTTTGCGTCAGCCAGCACTTCTGCCTAGATCTATGCTGACAGCCTCAGTGTCGGCTGAAGTTGCTGTTCTGTGCTGTTCAGGCAGCTCACTGAGGCTTTTCAGCCCGGTGAAGTTCTCCTGTTCTGTGGGTTGTAGAGGGCTTGGGTGGAGCGCTGTATCTGAACCGAAGTCCCAGAGGGGGAGATCCCCTGGTCCTCCAGTCGGTTGCACGCACCTCCTGGGTGGGGCAGTGCCCCACCTTGTCTCAACTTGCCCTATTTGGTTTATACCCACTGTCCAACCAGATTTACAAAACCTGGTACCTCGTTTGGAATTATGGAGACCACTCGGGTTTCTGTGTCTCTCTCACTGGGGGCTGCTTTTCGGAGCTGCCTCTCATTCGGCCATCTTGGTATCCACCAACACAGCATAATTTTAACTGATGGCTCTCAAAAAAATTCAGTTTGGTTATGACTTTGAGTTCAACTATATGAACAGAGCCTCTAACTGACAGAAATTTCCATTACACCTAAATAAAAAAAGTACTTGGGGGGCAGGAGAGCAAACATTTTCTGGAAATATTTTTTGCAAGTTATCAATCAGTAAAATAAAACTATTTGTGTTCCCAGCAGAATAGGCCTTTGAAATCTAATTAATAGATTCTATCTGAAAACTATCAGATTGTTTTCAAATAATCCTTACATATTAAAATGGAGGCATTTAAGACCTATATGAACAAGAGACAACAGCACCAAATAACCCATGTGCATGCAGATATGAATTTAAAAGGTACTTCTTTAAGGAGGAAGACTTGAGAGGCTAGCGAATTACACAAGGGGCTTACATTCTTTGCCTAATATGGACCATCTGTGGCAGAATACTAAAAATCTCAACCCTTATTTCAACCATGGAGAAGATACTATGATAGAATATCATAGAATATCATTGTTTGAACCAGTGCACAAAAGTGTTAAGTATGAATCAGCATTTCCATCTTACAACCTATTTTTACTCCTATGTCCATATTGTTTGAATTCTATTAGTAAAAGTTTCTCTATACAAAATAAGGAGAAAAAGCATTCTTTTGTGATTATACACTAAATTTTTCTATGTATTACAGTTACATAAAATATGATAGTTGTGTGTGTGTGTGTGTGTCGACTATTACAGTTGCATAAAAATCACAACGTGCATGTGTGTTGTGTTTTTGAGACAGGGTTTCACAATGTTGCCCAGGCTAGACTGCAACTGGCTCACTGCAACCTCCACTTCCTGGGTTCAAGTGATTCTCCAGTCTCAGCCTCCTGCATAGCTGGGACTACAGGAGTGAGCTACCAACACCCAGGTAATTTTTGTATTTTGTAGAGATTGGGTTTCTCCATGTTGCCCAGGTTGGTCTCAAATTCCTAACCTCAAAGCAGTCCACCTGCCTCAGTCTCCCAAAGTGCTGGATTACAGGCATGAACCACCAGGCCAGGTAGTTTTTTTTTTTTTTTTTTTTTTTTTTTTTTTTTTTTTGAGATGGAGTTTTGGTCTTTCACCAGGCTGGAGTGCAGTGACACGATTTCGGCTCACTGCAACCTCCACCTCCCAGGTTTAAGCGGTTCTCCTGCCTCAGCCTCCCCAGTAGCTGGGATTATAGGCATGCACCACCACGCTTCTCTAATTTTGTATTTTTAGTAGAGATGGGGTTTCTCCATGTTGGTCAGGCTGGCCTTGAACTCCCGACCTCAGGTGATCCGCCTGCCTTGGCCTCCCACAAGTGCTGGATTACAGGCATGAGCCACTACGCCTGCCCAATTTTTTGTACTTTTAGTACAGAGTTTCACCATGTTGGGCAGGATGGTCTCGATCTTTTGACCACGTGATCTGCCCACCTTGGCCTCCCAAAGTGCTGGGATCACAGGCACGAGCCACCGTGCCCAGCCAGCAGTTTTCTTTTTTAAAGAATAAATGTTTTACACTTAGAGTTCAGGAAAATTATTTAAAACTGGGCACAAGAGCTATAATAACAATCCCTTCCAGTAAGATTTAGTTTCTTTTCTTGGAGGCGAGTCTTGCTCTGTCTTTCAGGCTGGAGTGCAGTGGCACTATGTCAGCTCACTGCAACCTATACCTCCTGGGTTCAAGCAATTCTTGTGTCTTAGCCACCTGAGTAGTTGGGACTACAGGCACACGCAACCATGTCTGGCTAATTTTTTGTATTTTTAGTAGAGATGGGGGTTTCACCATGCTGGCCAGGCTGGTCTCAAACTCCTGAGCTCCATCTGCCTGCCCTAGCCTCCCAAAGTGCTGGGATTACAGCAGGAGTCGCTGCACCTAGCCTGACTTAGTTTATTTTCTATTGGAATTATTTATCTGAACAGATTATAAACCATCTTTACCAGGTTTGTGAAAATTGGCATGGTCTACAGGTGAGCTGTCACTCAGCTGCCAAATTGTCTTAATCTTCTTTTGACCACTGTATATTTCCACTCTCCATTTCTGTGGCTTCTCACTTAAGAATAAAACAACAAAAGAAAAATTAGTGAAGTCCTCATGCGAAAAGCACTGAGGACAAAGAGGTAAACAGGTAACAATTCCCACCCGTGAGGTGTATAGTCAAGAGAGGGAGAAAAACAAGAATAAAAATAACCATTTGAAAAAAAATGCTACAACAGAGAAATACTAGGTGTGTTGGGGAAAACAGAAGACAGGAAGGTAACTCGGACTGGGGATTGTAGAGTTAGTTGGAAAGAATCCTCAGAGGCTGTGATGTTTGTGCTGAGTATGAAATAACATGGAGTCAGGCAGGCAGATAAGGTCCAGGATGAAGGAACGAAGCGTGAGTAGACACCAAGGGTTAAGAGTGTGGAATGTCTGAAGAAATGCAGTAACACAGCATCCCTGCGATAGGCGCCATTTAAACAGGAGGACGTTCTGATGGGATGTGAACATTTTGGCAATGACACAGAAAAGAAAGATAACAGAGGCAGAGAGCGCAGTTAGGAAAAAGGATTTTACCACAGTCCAGGTATGAAATGATGCAGATGTGAAACAAAGTCATGATGATGTGAAGGTGTAGAGAAGGGGACACATTCTAGAGCTACCAAGGTCTAGACTCAGTCTTTTTTTTTTTTTTTTTTTTTTTTTTTGAGACAGGGTCTTGCCCCGTCATCCAGGCTGGAGTGCAGCAGCATGATCACAGCTCACTACAGCCTCGCTGCCTCCCAGGCTCAGGCAATCCTCCCGCCTCGGCCTCCCTAGTAGCTGGAACTACAGGCAAATGCTACCATGCCTGGCTAATCTTTACATTTTTTGTAGAGACAGGGTTTCACCATGTTGCCAGGCTGTCAGTAACCATTTAAAGGAGCGAGGGACTGAGTGGAGGATAAGCACTAGGTTTTTATTGTGGGCATTAGGTAGAGATTAATCATGGCCATTGGAGGAAAAAGGATGAGGTGCTGGGCTTTGGAATTTGAGCTGCTACTTCAATAAGCTGGGGATTCGCAGCTAATAAGCATTTAGAAAGATGGGTCTGAAGCTCAGAGAAACTGGAGATGTGGGTTATGAAGTATTGTTAACCTAGACAAGCTGAAGCCTTGGGTATAAATGCAATCACCAATGGAAGATAGGAAGTAAGAAGAAAAGAAGGCAGAGGGTAGAGTTCTGGTGAAAAGCGACAGAGGAAGAGGAACTTGAAAAGAGAACTAAGCCCTTCAGGTGGGCCAGAGAGGTAGAATTCAAATTAAGACAGATGCTATGGCAAAGAAACTAAGGAGACAAGTTCAAGAAAGCCACAGTGCTAAATTCCAAACAGCCTTACAAGTGTTTACTGAGGCAGAAAGAATTGGTGGGCCAAGTAATTACACAAGCAGCTAGAAAACATCATCTTACTGAAGAGCATCCCCTGGATTTGACAATTAGGAGGCCATTGGTAACCTTTGCCAGAGCAATCTGAGGGGGCGTGTGGGAGTTTGGCTAAGAAGGAAATAAACAGAGGGAGGGTATAAATAGAGTGGCTATAACATAGAGAAATTTCAAGAATATCATATGCTGAGAGAAGAGTCAGGGAGACCCGCATTGGAGGCGACCTCAGTGTCCATGTGGATGACCATGTCATCTCAGCCTCGCAGTCCCCTACTTCCTCTAGTCATATCCTAAACCCTGTTATCACTATCCTGGTCATTTTCCCCTAAGAGTAACACAGAGGCAAATGAGAGACTAGAGGCTACACAGTCTAGACAGAGGTCTGAGAGAAGGGAGAGGGAGGACTCTCAGGGTATGGCCACAGATGATTAAGGTTTCAAAGGTAATGAAGGTCACGAGGTCCCTAATGAATATGAACATTGAAATTGCCTAGGATCATGGCTGGACTTAAGATAAAAAAATAAGCAATTTAATAATTCAGTTAATAGGGATAAGATCTCATTAGGTTGCCCAGGCTGGTCTTGAACTCCTGGGCTCAAGTTATCCTCCCACCTTAGCCTCCCATAGTGCTAGGCTGGAGACCCTCAGGTGTGAGCCAACATGCCTAGCCAAAATTGCTTACCTTTGATATAAGTTCTTTACAGCAGTCGGCCTGACTGGCAGCTGAAAAATGTGTTGCTCATCAAGAGGATTTTGTTTGTAATATTTTATGCAGATCCTAAAAAAACAAAATTGAACCTCTTTTGGAAAAAAGACATTTGAGATAATGGTTTTCTGGTAGTCTAAAGCTTGTAAGGGAAATATTTTATTCAGTACCACTAACTAAAACAGCAAATACTTTTAGAGCCACAAAAGTAAACAAAATAACCCCCCAAACTAAACTTAGGTTATATTTTTTCTTTGAAAACAAATCTCATTCACTTTAAAAAAAACTAACAGACGTATTTCTCATAAATATAAAACATATTTGAACCCAAAGAAAGACTTCAGTGGGGAGAAGAGGTTACAGAAAAACCATACTATAAAAAGAGGAAGAGGAGAAACAAAAGCACAGCTTCCATGGTTTTCGGAGTCCAAGGAATTAGAGTTAACTCATTCATTCCACTGGTATATAGTGGGGGAAAAAGAAGCCTTTGAGAGTCTATAAACAATAATGATTTCACACTTTCCCCTTTACAACTGAGGCAAATTCTAATTTTGGAAAATGTGATGGTACATTTCCTCCCAGAAACCCAGTCCTTCCACTGGACAGCTGCCTTCCTAGTTTGAGGCCTCAAATGCACATAAGATACCAGCAGTCCGTGCCTGGAAATTATTCCAAATTACCTCTAGTCAAACTAATTGGAATCTCAAATTAGAGCAGTCTCTACAATCACAGCAAAGCTACCGACAGAAGTCTAGTAATACTATTTGATTCCGTTATCGTTTAGATGGCTCGCAAGGTTATTTTGACCCAAATTTACAAGGCTATAAAGAAAAGAAGGAACTAGTATTTACTAAGCACCTATTAAGTGACAGGTATGTTATACACATTACATAATTTTATCCTTACCACAAATACATGAGGTTATTAGATCCTTTTTACAGATGAGAAAACAGGATTCAGTGATGGAAACTTCCTGAGGAAGTGGCACAGCCAATGTGAAATCTAATTCCTTTTGAATCCAAAGCCTTTCCTGCCTATAGCATTGCCTTAGACTCACACTACTGTAAAGACAGGATGAAGAATTTCTACCCTAACTGGTAATAAAAACTGCACATATTTAGGCTGTAACTATTTCAGAAGAGAATACATTTCTATATAAGTAAAGAATACAGATATACTTACTGTGTTAAAGAAAAGAGGAGTTCATGTTGAGATTTAATGAAAGGCATGCAACTGACTAATATTTCTAGAATATGGTGGAGTTTTTGGACACGATAAGCCTGTTCTTGTGTATCTACTGATGGAGCAATGAAGTATTCCTGGAATGAAAAAATATAAGCAAAACAGGGATTTAAAGCACTAGTATAACCTTTGTAAAGAATATAGGTATGCCTGTTACACCTAAATTTAGATCCTTGATAATAGAGATTAAAAAAAAAAAATGGCAGCTAGATAGAATTTCCCACCTTTCAATACTATTCTTCAAACTAAATTATAGTCATGTACCATATAACTGTTTAGGTCAACAATGGATCACACATATTACAGTGGTCTTTTTTATTTTTGAGACAGGGTCTTGCTCTGCCACCCAGGCTGGAGTGCAGTGGTGTGATCTCGGTTCACTGCAACCTCCACCTCCCGGATTCAAGTAATTCTCCTGCCTTTGCCTCCTGAGTAGCTGGGGTTACAGGTGCCTGCCACCACACCCAGCTAATTTTTGTATTTTTAGTAGAGATGGGGTTTCACCATGTTGGCCAGGCTGGTCTTGAACTTCTGACCTCAAGTGATTCTCCCTCCTCCCCTCCAAATTGGTAAGATTACAGGTGTGAGACAAGGATTCACTATGTTGGCCAGGCTGGTCTCAAACTCCTGACCTCAAGTGATCCGCATGTCTTGGCCTCCCAAAGTGCTGGAATTACAGACGTGAGCCATGTTTCTTAAACATTTTTTAAAAAGTTAAAAATGGAGAAAAGCTCACAGAATAAGATCATAAAAATATTTTTGCATAGCTGAACAATGTGTTTGTAAGTGTTATTACAAAAACAAAGTTTAGACAAATTTAAAAGTTTATAATGTAAAAAAGTTATAGTAAGTTATGGTTGAATCCATGAATGTAGAACCCACAGACATAGAGGACCGTGTGTGTGTGTGTGTGTGTGTGTGTGTGTGTTTTTGCTAGAATATGTTTCCACTAAAAATATATACCCTTAATAAAATGTTTAAAAATTTGAATAGTAAAAATTAAACAGAAGAATCCAGTTGAGTCTATTTTGCACAAAAGATACAGCTAGTTTTTTTTTTTTTTTTTTTTTTTTTGAGAGTTTCACTCTTATTGCCCAGGCTGGTGCAATGGTGCAATCTCAGCTTACCACAACCTCTTGCCTCCCATGTTCGAGTGATTCTCCTGCCTCAGCCTCCCCAGTAGCTGGGATTACAGGCATGCACCACCACACCTGGCTAATTTTGCATTTTTAGTAGAGACAGGGTTTCTCCATGTTGGTCAGGCTGGTCTCAAACTCCCAACCTCAGGTGATCCGCCCATCTCAGCCTCCCAAAGTGCTGGGATTACAGGTGTGAGACACCATACCCAGTCTCTATATTGTATTTTTATATGAGAGAAATGATAAATTGATACTATAAATTCATTTTCAAAAGGATCTTCCAGTGAATGTCAAGGGTCGGTACGGGTACTATTCAACCTTCTAAAGTTTCTGAATGGGTGAGGAAAATATAACAAAGTTCATAATGATGACCCTGAAACCTAGAAGTATCTTTTGAGCCAATATATTAAAGATCATAAATTATTTGGAAAATAAACTTTCAAGTATAATATAAATGGGCAAGGAGAATATAAAACAGGCCAGGTGCTGTGGCTCACGCCTGTAATCCCAGCACTTTGGGAGGCCAAGGCGGGCGGATCACAAGGTCAAGAGTTCAAGACCAGCCTGGCCAACATGGTGAAACCCATCTATGCTAAAGATACAAAAAATTAGCTGGGCATGGTGGCACATGTTCGTAATCCCAGCTAGACCAGAGACTGAGGCAGGAGAATCGCTTGAACCTGGGAGGCAGAGGTTACAATGAGCCGAGATCACGTCATTGCACTTCAGCCTGGCGACAGGGCAAGATTCCGTCACACACACACACACACACAAATATATATATATATATATATATATATAAAACTTTATAGGATCTATGAATTCCCTAACTATTCTAGATAGATGTGTGGTAGCACATTGGCTTGAGAAGGATATAACTATAAATTTATATAAATTTGAGTATCACAAATTTATACAGCACGAGAACTGATACTGAATGGGCTACTTTTTTGTCTCTTACTAGGCAGTAATAATTAAGGGCACTGAGTGTCTTAATTGTTTCCCAGGGCCTGAGACAGTGGCTGGCATATTATTGGCAGTTAATAACTGCACAAAGAATGACTGAAAGAAAAACCAATGTGGGAATAAAAAAAGAAACTCACCAAATGATTCAAAGATGCAAGTTCCTGACCTATTAAGAAAAAACACATACATACAGAAAAACTTTAGGTATTTTCTATCACATGCTAAGAAATCTATATGAATTTTTTATAGTTCATATATGAATGAGATTGTCAAGCTAAACAGTTCCTCACAAAAGGCCAAGTTTTCTGGCATATGATACCATAATACCCTAAAATGATCACAGCTTCTCCCTCACAAAAACAACCACGTGTAGGGTATTATAACAGCATCTCATAAAAGGATTAATTTACAATACTAACTTCCTACAACCTCAAATGTTTGAACTAAAAACAAATAAGAACTATGGATATAATGAATATGATATCTTTATTGGGGGGGGGAGGGAAACTAAGGCCAGAGAAGGGAAAAGCTCATCTCATAGTGAACCAAGTACAAAGCCAGGAAGGACTACAGATGATGAGGGGCAAGCAGAAAGAGAAAATCTGAGAATATCTGTGACTGATAACTGATATGTTTTTTTTAATCTTTTGAGCCAGGAAAGAGACTTACCAATGAAAAAACTGATATAATCTTTCTTTAGTTTGTCCAAACCAATTTCCAAAAGCATTTGAACTGGAATAGTCCCACTGAGAGAAACTGTGTCCATGGTTCCATGATAAGACTGATGAATGAGCTTACTTAGTAAACTGTTACTCCCACTATGGAGCTAGAAATCAAGAAAATTTTATAAAACCATGAACAAAGATATAAACAAACCCAACAAACAAAAGAGAAGCTAATTACAGTAGCTACAAGCTAAAAATTACAAGCTTGCATTCTTGGTCTCCTAACACTATAAACTGTTTGACCAAACCTCCCCAAATTATGAACATCAGTTTTTTGGGGTTTGTTTCCTTTTTGTTTTGAGATGGAGTCTTCCTCTGTCGCCCAGGCTGGAGCGCAGTGGCATGATCTCGGCTCACTTTAACCTCCACCTCCTGAGTTAAAGCGATTCTCCTGCTCCAGATGGTACTACAGGCATGCACCACTGTGCCTGGCTAATTTTTGTAATTTTAGTATAGAGATGGGTTTTCGCCATGTTGGCCAGGCTGCTCTCGAACTCCTGATCTTGTAATCTACCTGCCTCGGCCTCTCAAGGTGCTGGGATTACAGGTGTGAGCCACCACACCCAGCATGAACATCAGTTTTTAAAATGCCATTCCTGGGATGGGCACAGTGGCTCACACCTGTAATCCCAGCACTTTGGGAGGCTAAGGAGGGTAGATCACTTGAGGTCAGGAGTTTGAGACCAGCCTGGCCAACATAGTGAAGCCCCATCTCTACTAAAAATACAAAATTAACTGGGCATGATAGCACCTGTAGTCCCAGCTTGGGAGGCTGAGCAGGAGAATCGCTTGAGCCTGGGAGGCAGAGGGTGCAGTGAGCCAAGACTGCACCACTGCACTCCAGCTTGGGCAACAGAGCAAGACTGAGTCATTTAAAAAGCAAAACATAAAATATAAACTAAAATAATAAAATGCCATTCCTTTCTCATTTGTTTAAGTCCAAAGTAACTAAGAAGGGTTAAAACTTATCCCCAGATAAAATTCCACCAAAGAGAAGTTAGAGTTGTTCCTTTGAAAATTTACAACTAGGAATTCTCTTCTAGCTGATTTCAGTGCTTTATGGCATCTTTTCCACAACTGAACAACTTCATCTTCACCAAAAACCTGTTGCCACAGTAAAACAAACCCCCTCAATGGTCCATGCATGTGTCATATAGAATTCCTCATTGGCTACAATGTCCAACATAGGAACTTGATAATTGTAAATTAAAAAGAGATGTGAATTTACAATGTGTATGCCAAATGTTAATTAATTTTAAGTACATATAAAATATTTGTCATTTTCCCACTACTTTCTATTTCTCTTTCATCATAATTTTCTGCATAGTCTTTTTACAATATATACATAACAATTTCACTTTGCACTCACAGTACATGCTAAGATTATACTTGTAAACATCTCATAAACACAAACTCTCAAGAGAAAAATTCAATGGCTAAAACTAAAATGGCTAGAATCACTAATGCCCAATTAAGCAGAGCTTGCATGCCTTTACTCTGGAAAGTATCTTTGTTCACACCTATAAAAGTTTATAACTTTTATAATTATGAATTGGCAGTCATATTACCTAAAATGATTCCTTATTAAATAACTTTTTTGTTTTTAACTTTGTACTTAGCTTTCTCTTGACTATAAAAAGTTGCACAAATTCATTGAGGAAAATTCATAGAGATATAATGCAGTTGGAAAAAAAATTTTTTTTTTTGAGATGGAGTCTTGCTCTGTCGCCCAGGCTGGAGTGAAATGGCGCAATCTCAGCTCACTGCAACCCTCACCTCCCAGGTTCAAGCAATTCTCCTGCCTCAGCCTACCGAGTAGCTTGGATTACAGGTGCCGGCCACCACGGCCAGCTAATTTTCTGGACTTTTAGTAGAGGCAGGGCTTCACCATATTGGTCAGGCTGGTCTCGAACTCCTGACCTCAAGTGATCTGCCTGCCTCAGCCTCCCAAAGTGCTGGAATTACAGGCGTGAGCCACTGTGCCTGACTGGAAAAGGTCATTTGCAGCCCTTCCACCATAGATGACTACTCTCACAATTTTTAGCATATTTGTTTCCAGATTTTTCTCTCCAAAAGTTACATTTGTATACAATCGTGCATATTCCTTTTTATTGAATATTGTAAGCATTTTTCCACATTATTTGTCAGCATCATTTTTTCAGCAACTAATAGACATGTCATATGTAGCTATAACATTTACTTAGCTGTTCCATTAGCAAGGGAAATTTAGGTCATTTAAAATTTGATGCCAATATAAATGAGACTGCAATGATTATTCTGATACATAAATTCTTGATACATGTTTCTGAGTATGAGCTTAGGATACATCCTAAGAATTATTGGTTCAAAGGCCATGATACATTGTAAGGCTCTCAATACATTACCAAAATTGCTTTTTAGAGAATATCTCAACTTCCATTCTCATCAGTAGTATATGAGCATGCTCATTCACAGCAACACTTAACAATGACAATATCAGTAGTTTACATTTACTGAGCACTTAACTATGCCAGGCACAAGGTGCATTACGTGGATAACATTAGCCAATCCTGGAACATTATGAGGTAGATACTATTCTTACCTTTACAGATGAGAATGCTGGGGCACAGAAAAGTAAAGGAATCTGCCCAACTTTACACAACTAGAAAGTATCAGAGCTGGACTTCAGACGCAGGCAGTCAGCTTCAGAGCCTGAGAAAATGATCTGACACATACTACAAAACCTACCCATGGCTGTATGTCACCACGTTGTAGACTCTGGATGATCAATGTGAAACACTTCACCAAGTCTTGGTATGAAATCACACCTTGGGAAACAAGTCAGTGGAACACTATTTTCAGGGTATTTCTACAGATCAAATACATCATTAATCTTAAGGATACACAAATGAAGTAGAAGGCAAGAATCTGTACTTCATGGGTAGGGGAAAGAGAAAGAGGCGAAAAAAAAAGATTTAATGCATTTGTAAAGAAATAAATCAAACTCAGATTGCCAAAAAAATAACATGCTTAGTAAAATACTAAAGAATATCTTTTCCTTTTTCTAATAATTTCCCTAAGGTATATGTTTTCGTTCATATAAGCAGAGCATGAAAATTACCTAAGTCTTAAAAAGGCAGAGAAAAGGATAATTCTACAAATTACCTTGTCTTAGTACAATTCTTAAGCAGAATGTACCAATGTATTATCAGAAATGAAGTGGATAAAGAATGAACCAGACTTCCACAGAAGAATAGTGGTACACACTGTATTATCTCCAAAATACTTAAGCCTAAGAAATAAAAGGAAAAATCTGAATCCTGATGGACACTTACTACTGCTCATTTTGCACCACAGTTGCTCAGCAAAATCAAGATCACTCCGCACTTCGAAAAGACGCTTGACTGAACGATCAACTGCAGCGGCGTCATGCTTCACTGCCTGAAAAAGAAGCAAGCTTCAGAGAATACTCTGTTTTTTTTTTTTTGTTTTTTTTTTTTTTTTGAGACGGAGTTTCGCTCTTGTTACCCAGGCTGGAGTGCAATGGCGCGATCTCTGCTCACCGCAACCTCCGCCTCCTGGGTTCAGGCAATTCTCCTGCCTCAGCCTCCTGAGTAGCTGGGATTACAGGCACGCGCCACCATGTCCAGCTGATTTTTTGTAGTTTTAGTAGAGACGGGGTTTCACCGCGTTGACCAGGATGGTCTCGATCTCTTGACCTTGTGATCCACCCGCCTCAGCCTCCCAAAGTGCTGGGATTACAGGCGTGAGCCACCGTGCCCGGCCCTGTTTTTTTTTTTAAGTGAAATAATTTAAGCTTTCAAATGCTCTGAGAAATTATGGATTCATGAACACACACACAGACATGAATGCATTTTCTACAACTTCATTCACTAATGAGGAGATACAAATCAAGAGTGAAAAACAAAACCCTTAATATTGTTTTAAAACTATAGTGCCTAAAAGTGAGCATTCAGCTTTCCTTCCATGTAAAAAAAATAATTACCACCAGGTGTGGTGGCTCAAGCCTCTAATCCCAGCACTTTGGGAGGCCAAGGCGGGTGGATCGCCTGAGGTCAGGAGTTCAAGACCAGCCTGGCCAACATAGTGAAACCCCGTCTCTACTAAAAATACAAAAAAATTAGCTGGGCGTGGTGGCGAGTGCCTGTAATCCCAACTACTCAGGAGGTTGAGGCAGGAGAATCACTTGAACCTGGGAGGCAGAGGTTGCAGGGAGCTGAGTTCGCGCCATTGCACTCCAGCCTGGGCAAGAAGAGCAAGACTCCATCTGAAAAAAAAAAAAAAAAAAAAGAAGAAATTAACTTGGTCTCCATTTTCCTACTTGTCAGATGAGAATATATCTAGTTTAACAGCACCATCTTACAGTATATTAATATATGATGCTAGAACCATCTTATATTAACATATTCATTTCTACTTCTCTGCAATTGAGCAATGAATAATACATATATATCAGTTCTCTTCAAAAATATTTATCAGTTCTGGCTAGGCACAGTGGTTATGCCTGTAATCCCAACACTGGGAGGCCAAGGCAGGTAGATCACTTGAGCCCACGAGCTCAAGACCAGTCTACGCAATAAGTGAGACCCCATCTCTACAAAAAATTTAAAAATCAGCCAGGCATGGTGTTGCACAGCAGTAGTCCTAGCTACTCAGGAGGGTGAGGTGGGAGGATCATTTGAACCCTGGGGGTCAAGGCTGCAAGGAGCTGTGATGGAGCCACTGCATTCCAGCCTGGGTGACAGGGCAAGACTTTGTCTTAAAAAAAAAAAAAAAAAAAAAAAAAAAAATCCTCCCAGAGCTAGGATTACAGGTGTGAGCCACTGTACCTGTTGGTACCAACAGGTAC